CTGTTACACTGCTGGGGACACACAGGCTGCTCTGTATTTAGCAGCAGTGCGCTCCACTGCGAGCTCAGACTGTAACAGCCGGTTGCTGCTTCCTCTCACCTCACAATAAACTTCTGCAGGAATGAGTAGCGCAGAAGGAAATGAACAATGTAGTATTGACTCTATATACTCTCTACATATCCACAAATCTATTATATTTTAATTCACTATCTAAAGAACACGGAAAGCCAGAAAAATAACTTTAAAAAATGGTTGTGTTGTTGTTGATGTACAGTACAGCAATGAGGGCAGTTGTAACAGGGTGCACGTGCACACTCTCACGTGCAACAGATTATGAGTGACAGGTATACTAACTGTTGAAACTGCAGCTGAAACTGTCTGCTTGGACTGTACCAACCTAATAGACTGCTGTTACTAGCACTGCACACACCAAGTTAGAGATCTCTTATGAAAAGATAATAAAAAAAAATGCAATCCTTAATGAAAATTTGGCAGGACAAATTAGAATATGGTGGGCCATCACAGTTTATACACATGTTTATACTTTCTAAAATAGTGATTCTTTTTTTGTAACAAGTCATCGTATGTTATTTCATCTAGAGTGACGAATGAAAGGGAAAAAGAGATAAAAAACAATAACGATATCAGAAATCAAAAGTTAAAGCTGTTGGTTTTGAATCTTAAAACTCTTAGGGGCTGCAATTGAGCCATTCTGCCACACTTGTGCACAAGACCCCCAAAAGGAATGTGTGCAAAGTTTTGGAAGGATTTGTGCATGTTTAGTTCTCAGAAATGCGTTGAAAGATAAAAACTAAAGGGTACAAGAGGGTTTTCGTACCATGCTCGAGCTCTAATAGACTGTCCATCTTTTAAAATGACTCTTATCCTTCATTTGATGCTTTAACTACATGCTGTAGCTGCACAGTTGTGGTTACTATGCAGTTGTGAGTGATAATCACATATGTCTCTGCTGATAACAGTGTCTGAATCTGTTCAGACAGTCTACCTTTGTAAACCATCCTCTGTGGCGACACTCTAGAAATCAGTTTGTTCCCGCCTCAATAGATTGAGATGAAACCTTTAGTTAAAGCCTCTTCGAGCACACTTACCAGTGAATGTGAGAAATTCAGCAATGCTACAACTGTGAAAGTCTTCTCTGCCTGTGTGTGACCATGTGGAATCTCTACAGTAACTTCACTCAGTCAAGCATCAAGGGCTGAGCTATGTATTCCTCATGTCTTGTTTAACAAACACAACAACATAATCACCAGAATATGTTAGAACTGGACTGGATTAAGTTACCACAGTCTGCCCTCCTCCAGTGTAGCCAGCAGCTGTGCTTGATGTCTTATTTCTAATATAAAAAAATGAAAAGATCAGAGAAAGAAGTCTGCTGTGCACAACACTGAATTGTTTTTCAATTCAAGATGTATATTACAGCCTGAGGCAGTGTGCAGACGCAAGGCATTTCACAGACAGATATCTGTTTGGTTGTTGAAGAGACGCAGACAATTTGTCTGTCAGACACCTACTGTAAGCAACATGATGAGATGCTGATTACATTTGCCTCTTACCTGCTCTGCTAAGAACAATTTCTGACAGAGAAGAAGACAGACAGAGCGATAGCCTGAGATAATGCCCTTCACAGTGTGTGGAGAGGCAGAGTGATGTTCTGGAAGTGTATCTGAACAGTCGCTGTGGAGATGTTGTTGGTTTTAGCTGTTTGGTTTGAGGTGAGCAGAGGGAACATGCTGTGGAGGAACAAGCTAATTTGCTGATTTAATAAAGAGACAATATTAATGGTTGGTTTGGAACAGTGGGGCCTGCTACAGGAGCCAGGGGCTTGAACACATGAAAAACACTACAATTATTTAAGTGTATTCAAAAGAACATGAACTGTTGATTAAGGTTTATGGTCTGCCTTCTGATTCCCTCTTTCTACAGGAGATCTACTAAAGGATTATGTCACTTTGTCACTTTGTTCTTTTCTAAGAATTAAAGATGGTTTGCTAAATACTAAATATTCTAAACACAGAAAAGAAAAAACAAATCAAATGTTCAACCTGAAAACAGGCACTAATTTTTGAGCTTTGCTCAACAGACCTGATGGTGTGTGATTTGTTTCTGGAGCCAACGTCAAAATGAAGCTTGCCAGTCTAATCAGCCTGAATGATGACGGGGTGGACACATGCTAATTAGCACCATCAGCCTGAGCAGTGTAGAACAAAGCGCTCTGCTCTTATTGTGCTTTGTCATCCTCAGGAGCGTGTGTTTAAGTCTCTGTGGGGGTTTTGGGTCTTCGCAGTGTCCGTATCTTGTGTGCTGAATGTACACGTAGTTTTAAGCATTGCTCTCTAATAAATGTATTTGTGTTTTGTGTGTGTCTTCACAAGGAAAATGTATGAATCATAACTGGGTAGTTGGAACCTGTGGGCAGGGTGGCGTAAGTTCATCACAGGTCAGACGAAACGCCCCCACACGCTGCACTGAGCCAGATCCGGAGCACAGTGGCGTGCTCCAGTTCTCAATGATGCTCAAAACACAGATTCTAATACCACTCAAAGACAATATGAAGTAACTTGAGCTGTAGAGGCCGAACCAGCCTTTTCATCAGGGGCCCATCTCAATCCAGTCTGTTGAGAACGACTGTATCAGAGGACGACATTACTCGGCCGAGACGCAGGACTCTTGAGTGGCACAGTGAAAGCACTTCTGAAGCTTTTTAACCAACTTGTCATTGCGGGTCCACCATCTCATCAAGTGTGTTGGTTTTCCTTATCTTGAGAAGTTAATGCTGCTGAGAGCCCTCAAGAAAGACGGAGCAGTACAAGCTTAAACATTCAAGAGTTAAATATAAATACAAGTTGTACCACTTGCAGTGTAAAAGATTAAACTTTGGTAGAAAAAACTAATTCTTTTCCTCCTTATGTTACCCTGTCATGTACTTCGACGCAGCCCTGAACAGAGTACAAGGATCCAACCTAACATTGATCAGTATCATTGATTTTCACTGGAATGCACCATTTTAAATCAGGCTGTATACTTTACCATGAAATTCATTATTGTGTATTTTAAAGCACTTACAGTACACTTACTGTACAAAAAAATTGTTTTGTTTGAATTAGTGTTCCATTTTTTGACAGTTTCAATCCGGAGGATATGGGACAGGAGATGAAGTGTCGGCGGTTCGATACCAGTCTCCTCCATTCTGCATCCCGAAATTCAATTCATTTCAAAACAACTTTATTTGTCCCAGGAGGGCCATTCAAAGATTTAAAAAAAAGATTCAAAGATTAAATATCTTTAGGAAAGATACTGAACCCCAAATTGCACCCAGCAGTGTGTGAAAGTGCTGCACATAGATGCACTGTATGTATGTGTGTGAATGGGTGAATGGCAAAACTGTAGTGTAAAGCCCTTTAACTGGTGATCAAGACTACAAACGCATGCATTACAGCCTAGATGAATACAAATACATTCTGCATAACCAATAGTGATCACTTTCAACAAGAATTCTGCAAAAATGTTTCAGCCTTTCTGCATTTCTATAAAGCTGAAGGTAACAAGTGCAGTGCTCTGTGCAAAACCTTCACCATTCAGACAAGTTCCTTGAATGTGAAGGAGAAATGCTTGAGGAGGAAGCCTTGAAAAGTGCTGTCCACTGCTATAATCTGTGTTTCCCACCTGACATCTTCCTTTGACCTCATGTTTTATCTCTGTCCTTTCATTCCTCTCATCCTTTTCTCACCTCGTGCAGTCCTGCAAAAAAAAAAACAACCTCTCCTTGCCTTTTCCTTCTCATCTCTCTCGGCTTTCTTTCCTCTCCTCTCCTCACTTGCTCCAACCCCCACTCCTCCCCTCCTTCCACTCTTCTCCTCATCTCATCAACTCCTCAGACACTGTGTCTCACTGGTGCTCCCATTACAATGCCCAGGGTGCATCACCGCTCCATCTCCCAGTAATGGATTTCCAATGCTTCGACCATCTTACCTGTCACGTGCTCATGTCTCCTCCCTGGGTAGCATCACTCTGCAAAGCTGTTTAGAAATGCATGAATCCTCTCAGTGTTATTGTACTCATTCCATCATTACTCACTCCCCAGATAGAGCAGCAGTGCGCGACCCCCACCTGCTTCTCCTGCGGCACCGAGTCAAACTGATGAAGACTGCTGCAGCAACATCATAAGATTGAATGGGTCCACACGCTATATAAAACATGATTATGTGGGGTTGTATCATACGAATGTGGCTAAAAAAGCACATTATTGTAATAATCATGGGAAATTAAATGTGAGAAATGAATTTGGTTTTGTAATTGCACCAGAACGTGCCAAATTCCTTGACAGTTATTGTGCCAGATAAAAAAAAGTCTTTACAAATTCTTTGTTCATTGCTCACAATCACCAATATTTTAATTAGCTGTGAAATAGCAATTTGAAAACCCTGCACTGGTGTTTTTTCTTGGGAAATAATTCATGTACTGTTACTGTGTGGGTTTGTGTTCGGTCTTGAGTAACATTGGAGCCTCACTTTTGTCTTTACAGCACTCTGTAAAAACTAGACATGCAGAAGGGCTGCGAGCAGAAACACATACACACAGCTGCACACAAATCATGTCAATCAATTGGTAAATGTCAGTCATTACAACCACCTGAACCAATTTCAATCCTCTTCACCACAGAGTTCTTGGCTCGATGGCCACAGACTGTGTCTGATTCATAGTCGGGCTCACACCCACTCATGCCTTTCATTTTATCCAAAAATAAACACTTGCATAACATATCATCACCCAAAGTAGCCCCATTGCCCCCTCGGTTCTTTCATTACGTTGTTTATTGAGTTTGCAGAGCTTCAAGAGACAAACAAGGGGAGACTATTGTTTGTGAAACTCTACGTATTAATGCATAGCCAAGAAACAGCATCTAAATAAGTACATTTTCATATTCATACCCAAGTAAAGAGGCTGGGCAACCAACTCAGATAAGTCAATTGTGAGCTTACCTTTGGCGACTTGGTACACTTTCCATTTCGGGCATCTTTTATGTACGCTATATCCAGTAGGTCTGTATCCTGTGAAAAAAGAAGATTCATATATCGGTTAGTGTTCCTAAAAGCTGTGTCCTAATTCAGGGGACGCAACTTTTGGACGATGCGGTCTATGTAGCCCATGAAAGTGGCGGTCGCCACGATGGATCCGCCCGTTTCTCGCTTTTCATTAGGAAGAGCCTTCAAATGGGCCTGCCTAGTCATGCTGCTGTGACGCAGCCTCCTAAGGATGCAGCCACTGAATTGATACACAGCTTAAGTGTTAATTCAAAGGCTTCTAAGACAGTTTAGAACACAAAGACATTCATTGCCCATGGGAGTGGCTCTCTCCTTAACCAAACCACCTGTGTCTGATTGTTTGTTGTGCATGTGTAAAAGTCGTAGAGGCACAACTTTAGTCTCAATAGCACACATCATGTGGGAGTTACTCAGTTTAGATCAATGAAAGGCTACTGACAATGTGCGCTGCAGAAGTGTTATTGTAGTCAAATTCCCATGTTGACTGATGATCTGGCAAAATGAGCACTTTGCTCCTCACAGCAAAAATAATGCAAAATAGGTTTTCAACACTCATAAAATCAGGTACTGTATTGAAAGAAAACGGTGCTGTGCTGTGTTTCATGACAGATTACAGCCTCATCTGCAACACACAACGTGAACCACTTTTGGCAATGAATAAAAAGATTTGTACACAATGTTCTGCTGCTGGAGGGTGATCTGCTTTAACACCTCGCCCCAGCTTGGCCAGGCTCAGCTGTTTGCATGGTCGTCAAACAGCAATGAGACTTCACAAGGCCTTTTGATAAAGTCAAATGAAATGAGAACACCATGAATATCATCATTATGATTTAAACAAAAAATTAAGTAAGGCATTTTACATGAATGGAAACCTCGGCTTCATTGTTGATTCATTATTGATACAGCAGTGTGGGAAGCAATGTCAGTGCTTCTTATTCCATCTCACTGCTACAAAATAATATAGTGATGCAAAGTGGGACAGAATCCAAATCAATTGCACTGAAGTGTTGACATTAATGTACACGGAGCCTCACCGCTTTCATTTCTTCTTTCTGATTTTTTACACCGATCTTTTATTTTATTTTTGTCTTTTTTCAAAATCCAATCATGATTTAGTCAAACTTTCTTTTAGCGATCTGAATTATACTTCTCCCCCTAACTTGCATACCAATGTATTCATCCAAATTATACAGCAGCATTACCACGTCACCGAGTCCAACATACATTCAAACGTATGTCATTTTATCTGATTGTTATAATGACACAAAATCTATGGACATAGTTATTACCGACATGTATAAGCCTTCATTGTCAATGTGAAATGTTTGATGAAGTCCTGTACCCCTATGTCCACTTTTGGGGGACTCCTCCTCATAAGAGTGTTTACCAGTCCCCTTGATATTGCACTCCAGATACATGACATTGCAGTCATTCAAGCTATTGTATGTTAGTGTATGTGTCTATTTTTATATGAACACCCTTTACACATACAGAGTAAATCCATGATATCCAAATCCATTGACTGACTGTTTCATCCTTTTATTTGCAAGCTGGTTGCCCCTCATATTGTCAGTAATGCTGTTAGCAATAAATATATACAAACTGCAATTGCAGAGAAGGCCCCTGCTGCCTTCCTTCAGTCACCACATCCCTTTATCAGTCTGGTATATCTCTCTCTCCATTGCTCTGATGGAGCCAGGACATGATGTGGAAAATTAACCAGAGAGAACTGTGTGTCCACTCAGCATTATCTGGAGAGACAAGGCGCGATGGGGGCTTGACTCAACCTCCAAATGACGCTATCTGACAATCTCAAGGCCATGAGGCTGGTGGAAAATTGTAGCAGAAAATGTCCTCCTTATCTACAATCCATACCCACATACACCCTGACCTTAGTGGACACCCACTTATTTTTTTATTTTAATTTCAGAATAAAGTTTTCAGGGTTATTCCATGTTTGCTTTTGTCTTCTTCGAATTCAACTACCTGTAAAAGTTAAAACTTATTTAGAGGTGCGACAACGATGAGTGCATATTTAAATCAAAAAATTCTGAATAAGAAGGAAATTGAGATCTGCACTTATTGCAGTCATAAACATAAATATTAGTAATAAATATTGTCAGAAAGAGGTCATAAATATGTTGCCATATCTACAGTAGACACACAGACACACTGTTCACGTAGAGGCAGAAATTAAAGCAATCTTTTCCATGGCTGTAGTGCACAAGGTCGCTGTTTGTAAAGAGAGATCCTCTGAGTCAAAGGTCAACGCCTACATCGGGTCTGCAAATGCCTGCTTTTGAAGTAACTTTAGAGAGATGGAACACCACATGGGGGCCCGGAGGAACAGCAGGGCTTCAGGAAGCTGCTCGCTGATGTGGTCTCTTTTTCTGTGCCCTCTGGTCCCACACAGTTAACACAGCTCTAAGCTCGTTCAACGTCATCGGTTAAGTGTTAACCTACAGAGCCTCTGTAAAGGTAAAGCAAACAGCCTGCGTGGTTGACAGGCTGCTTGCACAGTGTGTGGCTAAGGCGAGACACATGTAGCCATTGCTGTAACCTCCAAATGACTTAGTCAGCATATGCAACGGTGAGCATTAGCTAACTTATTGTGCTGATGTAAATAAAAGTTGATGGCAATGACATTGTATTAATCTTGACTTGGATTTATGATTGCCAACGGTGCACAGTTACTTGATTAATGGATTTTGTCTCAGTCAAGCAGTCCAGTCATTATTTCTCCTGCTTAATTTATCTCATTTATTTCCTATGACATACAATGTTCTTTATCTGTTCATTCCTGTCATTTTTTATTATTGATCACAGTATCTCTATTTCTGCCTTCCCCTCTCTTAAATCCCCTCTCTGTGTGCAACAGAACTGCAAGTGGGGATCGTCCACTTTGCTAAAGCCTATTAAGATCTACTGCACGTCCAGGAAGCAAGCAGGGCCGGCGGGAGAGAACTACAGAAATTAATAAACGTGCTTATCCCACGCTTGCCCCGGGCCCCGTTTTCTGTGCCTGTTTGTCCGTGGAGCCGCTGTTCGCACAACATCCACAATGTGCTGCCTTTTAAAATTAAACCCATTCATTTTCCAAGTATCAAGTAAGTAGGGCAGCGTTGGTCTGAAAATTCAGGAAATTCATCCTTGATCTGAGGATCATTTGTTGTCAAATGTGCCTCTGTTTCATGCATTTTTTTGAATCTGACATTAGCCATTTCGTCAGGAAAATAGGAAAAAATAACCTGTGATAAGGTGGTTTGTGAGTATAATGGGGTAAAAAAAAAACATTCAGCTGTAAAGGTACAAGCAAAGGAGGGATGTGCTGGTGAAAGAAAAGGGAGATCGAAGGTTAGGTAAACATTGAGTGGAAGGAAGAAACAAAGAAAGGAATAAGTGGCGGTGGGGGAAACTGACAGCCACAGGTTAGCTTGCTCATTTACCAACCTCTGCATTCATAGTGGATGTGTACTCCACAGGGGCTGAGCAATGTAGACAAGGAACACAGAAAGTAAAGTCAAGAAACAATAGAAGAGGGGTGTTTGAGACAGGACTGCCTCATCTATTGTACAAGAGCCAGAGTGGGGAAAACATACGGGTTGTTGACAGATACAATTTTCAGGATTGCTCCATATTGACAATAATAGAGAAGTAACATTTTTTAATTAGAATAATAAAAAGGAGACATGATTTGTTTCTACCCATATGTCCGATCGGGCCGTGGCCAGTTAGAGGCTTTTTGCTTACCAGACAACTGACTAGCTGCGGCTTAGTGTCACAAGTGTCACACACACTATACTGGTATAACATGTCAGAGTGGCCTACTAAACCCTTCACGCCCTCCCCTGCCCCAAAATAAGCTGTTGTAAATACAGAACTGTTTTTGAAGCCAAGGTTCATTTTATCTATCTATGCAGCAACACAACTTAAAAATAAAACGGAGGGGAAATGGATTTATGTGGTGCAGGGCTAAATAAAACCACTACATAACCAATCAAACTGGTACGTTCTCTATGCACAGGAGCATTCAAAAGCCCACTGCCTCAGGGTCAGATGATTCTGGGCATGGATGTGTCCTCATAATCAAAAACAGAGCTATTACCTATGTGGACAAAACACGCTAAAGCTGCACAGGTGCTGTGCCTGCGCCCTGTAAGTGGCCCTCCAGTAGCACCCGGCTGCCAGGAACCACGCACTGTTACGTGGGGGAAAATGGTTCGTGGAGAGCTGTGCTTGAACTCGGCTGAGAGTCACATCCACTCTGCTGCTCCACTCCTGGGATCCTATGGAGCAACTCTAGCAGCCCCATGGTGATAAAGTCACAAACCTACTCATCTTAAGTGGCTGAACTAAAGAGAGAGCGAGTGGAAAAGGCTGCAGACAAAAGAGAAGTGAGCAGAATGCTATTATGTAGCAGGAGAGTACATGTTGCATGAGAATTAGTACAGATAAATGTGTGTGTGACCTTTAAAGACATTGCACTGAGGGTTTAGGCTCTGGTTTCTGTCCTACTAGTTGCCTCAGATGACTTGGGATCTAACAGTACATGTTACATTTTCAATTATTTCCCTAGATTCAACACTTTAACACAGTGTGAAGTGGAGAGTGTCCATAAAAGTGGGAGAGAAATGAGCTGTGGCGTGCAACAAAAGCCCTGATCCCAATTGGAGAGTCTGGCATTGCCACAAGGCTGCCTGAGGGTCTATTTAAACTGAGCTACTAATTCACTGTTTTTCATCCATCACTTCGTCCCATGAATCCACTTCTCTCCCCGCCCTCTGTTCCTCTGCAACATCAAAAAACTGAAATTAAATCTTTAAATTATTCAGTGCTGTCATGAGCAACCAATAAAGGAGAATTTCTCCTAACAATGTGAATAAAATGAACTCAAAGAGGATATACTCCAGCATAGTTATATTTTCTTAGTCTCATGTGAACTAAGGGAAACAGAAAAATGTATCTAAATAAAAATACTGTTGTGTACTGTAAGTTCTGAAATGCCA